ATGACCGGAGCCCGGGAGCGGCCAGCCGAGCCGGCGGCGATCAGTGCGGCGCCCGGGCTGGCCGCCGTCTCCGCGGCTGCTCGCGAGTCCTCAAAGTTGAGCGTCGGCGAGAGGCTGCCGCCCGCCGGGAGCAGCGGGGAACGAGCTCGGAAGGTGTAAAAGTGACCGCCGCGGGCGGCCGGGCGGCCGGGCGGACGGACGGACGCGCAGACCCCGGGGAGCGTGGCGGGCGGCGCTGGTCTGTGAGTTGTCCTCCGGCCGTGCGCCTCTCCCGGCGCTCGCCGTCGTTGTTTGCGGGATGCGTTTGTGTATTCTTTGTCGGCTGGGGCAGTGTTTTTAAAAACGCGGGGTGCGCCCTGGTAAGAAGTGAAGTTTCCGGTGGGAGGTGGGTGCGCTGCGAGCCCGCGCCTGCAGCGGAGGGGCGCGCTAGCGGGGAGGCGCGCCGGCGGTGCAGAGGCAGCGGGGCTCTCGCGCCGGCCGAGCCCCTTTCAAAAGTTACCGGAAAGAGAGAGCTGAGCGACCCCCAGGGGTTAACTAGGTGGTGCCTAACGTGCGCTTTCCCCTCCTCTGAACTGTCGCTTGCAGACTGACCGGCGGGAGGCCGCGCTGTGAGCAGGCCCGGCGGGGGACCCAGAGGCGACCATAATGTCTTTCGGGCCGCGCGCGCTGCCCACCCTGCCAGGAGTCGTCAGGCCCGGCTGCCGAGAGCTGCTGTGCTTGCTGGTGATCGCCGCGACGGCGAGCCCGGGCGCCGCCGGCGTGTGCCCCGCGGCTTGCGTCTGTGCCACTGACATCGTCAGCTGCACCAACAGAAACCTGTCCAAGGTGCCGGGGAGCCTTTTCAGACTGATTAAGAGACTGGATCTGAGCTATAACAGGATTGGCCTCCTGGATCCCGAGTGGATTCCGGTATCGTTTGTCAAGCTGAACACCCTTATCGTTCGTCATAACAATATCACCAGCATCTCCGCTGGCAGCTTTTCCACAACTCCGAATCTGAAGTGTCTCGACTTGTCATCCAATAAGCTGAAGACGGTGAAAAGCGCCGTGTTCCAAGAGCTGAAGGACCTGGAAGTGCTCCTGCTCTACGACAATCACATCTCCTATCTCGACCCCTCCGCCCTCGGAGGGCTGTCCCAGCTGCAGAAGCTCTACCTAAGTGGAAACTCTCTCACGCAGTTTCCCATGGATTTGTACGTTGGAAGGTTTAAGCTAGCAGAACTGATGTTCCTAGACGTTTCCTATAACCGAATCTCTTCCATACCAATGCACCATATAAATCTAGTGCCAGGAAAGCAGCTGAGAGGCATCTACCTGCACGGAAACCCATTTATCTGTGACTGCTCCCTCTACTCACTGCTGATCTTTTGGTATCGGAGGCACTTCAGTTCTGTGATGGATTTTAAGAACGATTACACCTGTCGCCTGTGGTCTGGCTCCAGGCAGTCCAGTCAGCTGCTTTTGCTCCAGGACAGCTTTATGAATTGTTCTGACAGCGTGGTCAACGGGTCCTTCCGTGCGCTTGGCTTTATTCACGAGGCGCAGGTAGGGGAAAGACTGGTTGTCCATTGTGACGGCAAGACTGGTGACGGACACACAGATTTCGTCTGGGTTGGGCCAGATAACAGAGTGCTGGAGCCAGAAAAAGAGGTGGACAACTTTCATGTGTTTTACAACGGAAGTCTGGTGATAGAGAGCCCTCGTTTTGAGGATGCCGGAGTGTATTCTTGTATTGCAATGAATAGGCAACGGCTGTTGAATGAAACTGTGGATGTCACAGTAAACGTGAGCAATTTCACTGTAAGCAGGTCCCATGCTCATGAGGCGTTTAACACAGCTTTCACCACCCTTGCTGCCTGTGTGGCCAGTATCGTTTTGGTACTTTTGTACCTCTACCTGACACCGTGCCCCTGCAAGTGTAAAACCAAGAGACAGAAAAATATGCTGAACCAAAGCAATGCCCATTCGTCCATTCTTAGCCCTGGGCCTGCTAGTGATGCCTCCGCGGATGAACGGAAGGCCGGTGCAGGTAAAAGAGTGGTGTTTTTGGAGCCCCTGAAGGAGAGTGCGGCAGGGCAGAATGGGAAAGTGAGGCTCTTTGCCAGCGAGACAGTTCTAGCTGAGGGCATCTTAAAGTCCACGAGGGTGAAGTCCGACTCAGATTCAGTCAATTCAGTGTTCTCAGACACACCTTTTGTGGCATCCACCTAATTGTGTGCCTGTATTGGTATGATGTCATAATTTAATCTTTCCGTATTTAACTGTGTGGTCTGCAAAATAAGTAGCAGGGCAGAAATTGTGTTGTTTTGTTTGCTGAGATAAAACCAAAATGACCTCTCAGAAGGGTTGATAGGAGGAAGTCGGGTAAAGCACTTTGGTTCCCCAGGGTGCCAGAGAAAGATGGGACTGTCTTCCAAAGTCTAAGCTCTAGATAATAATACCTGCAATTTTTAGCATCATTGATAACCTTGCAGCTGGTCCAAAAGGGGTATATGACTGACATTACCCTTTTATTCAGAAGTCTTAAAAGAAAAAAATGAGCTCCACGTATTAGTAGTCTTTAAAAATGTACTTTGCTAACTCACAAGGATCAAAGTTGAGTCAGTCTGAAGAACAGCATTAGGATCCCATTTCATTTTGTAAAAGATACAGAAGGAAGTCTCAAGCAACAGTTGTAAAGTTAGATTTGGGAATTATTCAGCCAAAATTATCATTGCAGATGTGAGTGAACTAGTTGCACTGATAAAATTTGCTGGGTAGTGTCACATTCTACGTGGTTCAGTAAATAGTACAAGGAGGGTACCTTTGTCTGACTTTTTTCCACTCTGTACATTTTCTCCATTCTGTATCCCGTAGAAAAGATCTCTTTGGAAAATTTAGAGTCGTCATTGTTTGTTGAGAAGAACATGTGTCAATACCAAAATGTCTGAGCAATTTAAGCTTTTATTCTAGCAGACTATTACTTGTTCATATGCTTCTGTATATGTAAATCTTAAATTATGTGAGCTACTAAGTAGACCCTACATACTGTGCTTTGGACATTTCAATTAATGTAAATGTGTGTATTCCATGACTTGCTGTTTTGTTTTATCTGGCTGTTTCAACATGTAAATCTAAGACGTTTTATGTGCTCAGACTGTGTTACTTTGTGTTAAGCACCACCTATAGCAAATACCTCTCCAAAATTCTTGTAGTTACAATGGAGCTTTTTATCTGGTAGAGGGAGAAAAAGGCTTTCATGTGTTCTGTACCAATGTATACTTTCTATAGCACTTTTTACTCTGACATTATACATTTCAGCTGGATTAAAAGATGCTTAAGTCCCAGTTTTACAACGTGAGAGCCTAGTAGTGCTCCAGGGTCGTCTCTGAGGGTTTCAGACCAGGTGATCTTTATGATTCGTCCTCACACTGTCACTGATGGTTTCCGGTGACCTTAGCCCCATCACAGACTCCCAGAGGCTTTCTGAACCGGTACCACATACTGATGGAAGACAGGGCTGGAATTAGCATAAATGCTGTCACAGCGTCAATCTCAGTCTTCAAGTCCAGGTCCTTCCCCTTCTCAGGCATGAAGGAGACCCCGAGGTGGTTGTGGGTCATCTGAGGTGGAGCAGTAAATACATGTCAGGGATAAAAGCAAAGAGCCCAGGGTCAGCATTCTCCTTGGAAAGATAAGGGGCTGGGAGAACGGTCACCTTAAACAGGGAAAGGTGTGGAGAAGAAACAGAGAAGTTAGACCAAAGAGTGACCACAAATGGCAAAGGAGAATCAAGAACTGCTTGTGGGGCTGAGAGGTGTTCAAAGCGGCAGGTGCGGGCAGCAGTGAAGTAGGTGAGGTGGCCGGTGGCCGCCAGCACTGGCCCTGGTGGTTTTCCGGGAAGGTAGCAGTGATGGTGGACACAAGGTGAGAGCTCCCTACGTGCCACGCCAGGTTGTCCGTGTCTGGTCAGCAGGGGCGTTAGGGAGAAAGTGACCGGAAAGGTCTCCTTTAAGGGGTGGGATGCACACAGCTGCTCTGTAGCACTGAAGATTCCAGACTTCCTGATGTTCAGATGGCTGCCCCTACCTCTTAACTACGGACCTCGCCCTTTAAACAAGATTTTCCACACAAGCATTTAGCCTAGTTGCTGATAAGAGTGCTATGATTTCTGTGACTTCAGAGTTCATCATCTTTTCTTCCTTCACATCTAGAGAAAACATAGACTGAAAAGATGCTGAGATTTGCTTAGGATCTCACAGTTAAAGCCACAGCTACGACCGCTGTCCTAGCCATGAGAAGGGCTGCCTACGAGGCACGCTTGGCAAAGCCGGTGCCCCCAGCAAGGCGGGTGTACAGGAGATCCCTGAATTATTCAGTCGTTTCTAGATGAGCTCTCTACAGTCCCCACAGCCTCAGCTCTAGGAAATCCGTGTCACACTGGACAGAAACATGAACAGGGCCAGCAGGGGTGGTAATAGGGTCCCCGCGCAGTGGTCCTAATACTAGTCAAAGCATAGGGCTGCCTGAGATAGAAGCCAAGATACTTACAATCAAAAGCAGAAGAAAATAGGAAAAATCCTAAATGCTGAAACCAAAGCTGTGTTTTGAGCAAACGTAGGAAGCATGGTAATTAAAAATCATAGAACTGAACGTTATAGTGTGGAATTCTAAGTTCTTAGGTGTATCAATTTTTTAGTAGGAGCCCAACTTCATGTATTTTAAATGTGAGAACAAAATTAATTTGTGCTTTATAAATCAAAGCTCTTTCTGTGGCTTTCTTTGGAGTAATAATGTGGGTTTGCGTAACTGGGTTGTTCTTTTAAGCCATTCGGTATTTTTCACTACATAGTGGTAGGAGGTGGAGACTCGGAGAAATCAGTCAACACAGAAGTAAAATTTTCCTGAGTGTAGAGTATTTTTCCACTGTAATGACACTAGATCCACTATTTTTTTTTATTTATGCTGATAGGTAGTTAACTGTGAGTTGTATTTTCAATACACTTTTAAGATTCATCACCTGAAAGAATGGCCTCAAAGATTTCCTTATGTATACTCAACTTTCGCATTCACTTTCACTGCTGGCCTAGACACATTTTCAGATATTTGTTTTTAGCTTTAATTGTTTGGATTATTTGGAAGGAAAACTGACTTATATTTTTATAAATAAATGTTTTTCCTAAAATGCTCATCCAAGAGGGACATAGGTGGAATTTGTGAAGGTAGAGCCATCAGAAGGATAGGAGGACATTTATCAAATTCTAAAGATATTTGAGCGTGCATCATCCTAGCAAGTACTGCTAGAAAGGACGCAGCCTAGGCGTCCTCCAGCATCGCTGCATAGCTGCTTGCCAGGTGCTCCCTCCCGGTGTCACGGAGTTAGCAGGTGACCTAGCAGTTGATCCAGAACCAGGCTTCTCAGTAGACTCTCGGGTGAAAGGTAATCACCAAGGGTTTGCAGCAGCTCCTGTACCACACACTCCTAACAGAGACCCTGATCCAGGAAGTCGGGGTAGACCTTGCCTATTGCATCTTTTTCAAACTTTACCATCTAATTCTGAGGCTATCGATTCTGATGAAACACATCCTGCAATAGGATCATCCCAGATTTTGTGTTTGAGGTCATGTTGAAATACATTGTTCTTACTAGTAATTATTAATTAATTATTCATAAAAGAAGAATCTTCTTTCCCTTAAAAATTCTGACATATTAAAAAGAAAAAAAAAAAGTTTTGCTCAGTGACACTAAACCTAAAGTAAATTGGTGGCTGTAACTTATGATTTATAGTTTTCTAAGTTACAAAATCTGAAATTGTTTTGAGATGACTACGTCCCTGATTGTTTCATTTTTAAAGAGCTATTTTTAGTTTGCAATCAACTCTACCGGACCAGGTTTGCAACAATGAGCTTTGAAGCTTTCACATTTGATTAGATCATGGTCAAGGAAGGGTATATTCCAAGGATGTTGTAGGGCAGATTTCATCTGCAGAGATCCAAACTTGTTTTTCCAGGACATCGGAATAATATTTTTTAAAGAGAGCACTAAGATTCTTTCCATAATTTTTTCTCCTTTCCCTGCCTGAAAGCCAGCCCCTAAACCATGTTGCTTATTTAGTTTGTGGAAAGATGATGATTAATTTGTCCTTGTCAATATTATTAGACGATAATAAATAAAAAGAACTAAAAACCTTCTAATAACCTCTTGAAAATTTATAGAACTGCTCAAGATGTCCCTACTGCTTTAGACAGATTCTAGGGGAGATGACCCTTCTACGGTAAGGACTAGAATTTACAGAAAATGGATAAATAGACACTTTGTAAATTGAGAAATGTACAAACTATGTATACTGATTTTTTTTTTTGTATCGGGAATCAAACACAGGACCTTGTATTTGCCAGGCAGACACTTGTGCTGCTGAGCTGTATCCCCAGCCTTATACTGACTTTCTTAACTGCCTGCTAAGTACCAGGCTTTTTGTGAGAGAAATAGCATTTGTTTGGTTTCTTTCCTTATCACAGTAGCCTTGAAAGACGGGAACTATTACCCTCATACAGGTAGGGAAAGAATCTCAAAGAGAAAAAAATAATTTTCCCAGGTGATTCAACTAATAGGCTGTTTTTCTCATGATAATCACTTCAAAAATATCTCTTCACAATACACCTTTAGGTATTTTGCCAATGGAATGATTTTGTAAGGCATGAGTCAGAAGTAGACTTCCTGTGAATGTAACAGTGTGGATAATTTGATGTGAATCTGGCCAGAGGAGTGGAAGGTCAGGCGCTCATTAGCCCTAATAAAGGTGGATGCAATTTGAAAATGCGATATATCACCAGTAGCAAAACGGAGAACCCACCTAAGAAGATTTGGACTTGACAGACCAGGCCCACTAGTCTGTTGGCCCTTTTTAGCCTGCTTCCATTTCACACATGAAATCACTCAACATGCAAAATAAGGATTTGCTTATCTCACTGTAAACTGTGTATCAAAATATCTAAATGAATGATTCACTTTAATATTTTTAAAAATAAAAATGACTCCAATATACAAGATGATAAAAATACTAATAGAAAGAGATCAGAGAGGTTTTTTAAAATTCCCAGAGAAGTGGTAGAGACAAATTTAGACCTCATGGGAAATTTTTCCAACCAATTTTAGAACTAGATTTCTCAAGATAATTCTAAATTGTTTCATCAGGTAGCCTCAGTAGCTTACATGATTAAAGTTCTCTGGAAGATGGTAGCAGAGTATCAAGCACATTTTTAAAGAATGCTGTAGTTCTCATTGGACCCTAGTGTCAATCATAGGAGGAAGAGTCATCACTGGTGATGAATGGCCAGTGGTATCCAAGAACAGGTTGTTGAGCATTTCTGGACACTGGGGCTTCCATAAATGATACAGAGCATCTATGCTGTTCTCACAAAGGACATTACATTACAGAGAAAGTAATCAAATAAACCTCAAGCAATTAAGAGTTATTAAAGGAGATCCGGCTGCTAGAGACTGTAACGGTCCAAAAGAGATGAAACAGGAAGATAATTGGCAGAGACCTTGCCTTAACCAAGGAGATTAATGGAGCACAGACCGGAATGTGAGATACTTGTCCAAGAGATGCCTCGGAAGGAGCCTTAGCTGGGATCTTTACTTTCAGAAAGCCGGTACTTTAGGGAGGTGGCACAAGCAAGTTATTGTTCTCAAATTCATACCAACCACTCTCTTTAAAAACCTACTGCTGCACATTGTCATATTGATGCAACCTGCAAAAGAGGGACCTTAAAATTTCACCTTGGTCCTCATTTATGCTCGACGCCGCGGGCCTTCTTTCCATCACAGGATGAAACTGCTTAAATCTATCCTGGTCCTGTCTTGATGAAGGACAGTCAGAGCAACAATTGATGCAGACCCTATCTGAAGGGCTGTATATACTTTGTCTCATGTCTATAAAAAAAGTTATTATTTTCCTGTCCATTTTACATATGGATGGATGAACTAAGGATTAGGTATGTTAAATGATTTGCCCAAAGAGCATGTCGTGAAGGAGCCAGGATTTGAACTCAGTTTTGTCGGGATGTGAAATCCATCCTTGTTTGTACTATAGTAAATTAAACTATGACACTTTTTATTTCCACTGGGAGGGCTTTGGCCGTGGCTCCCCCAAACAACTTGTGCTCCTCCTGCCTGAGGCTCCCTTCCTGCAGTGCTCTGGCTCTGTTTACAAGAGTCTTCTCTACTACAAACCTGGCAGCTCACTGCTTTGGCCTTCATTCACTGCTGGATTTATTCTCCTGCTTCTCTTTACACTCCCTATTTTGATCCTCAACTTCTAAAGAGTGTGTGCTCTCTTTATCTAGCACCTAGCACCT